CACTCCCTTTGCATTCTCATATCTGAACAAATCTAAAATATTAACCTAGATCACAAAACTTTTTTGTTAAGTTACAGCATTTTCCGTGTGAAATACAAAAAATGAAAGACGTTTACAACACCCTGTAACACCGAATTAGAGTGCAGCTCTTGAGGACGAGGAGGAAAAGGTACTCAGGGGAGGGTATACCCCTCCCCCCTCTTCATCCTGCTGCTGCAGCTCCTCCTCCTCCTCCTCCTCCTCCTCCTCCTCCTCCTCCTCCTCCTCCTCCTCCTCCTCCTCCCCCGCAGTGCATTATGGGAAATGTCCCATAATGCAACGCGCGGGACTCGTGACCATAGAGTTATTACAAATACCGTGGAAGCCAATACTGGCAACTCCCGCGGAAAACGGGCGAAAAAAGATTGCAGCGCCCCTGGCGAGCTCGGAGTCTCCGCTGGCAGACAAATTCTCCGAAATGCATTGGTTTTGCCTATCTCCGTGCGAGGTGACCAACGAAAAAAAATTGTTACGGACATTCGCTGCTTTGAAAGTTAAAAAATGGGTGCCAGCTCATGAGTGAAAGACATTCTCTTCCCGTGGGAAAGATGTTACAGCTTTCTGGGTGCAATTTCGGAGTTCTCCCGAAGAAAACATTCTGTCACAACTTATGTAAGCCAAGCAAAACACGAATGTATGCCTTCGCGCTGTTTCGTGAAAAAGGGAAATGTACAAACATTTCAGAACATAGCTTCGTTTCAACTTTATTGTTCTTATCAGTCAATTCGTTTTGTAGTTGCAATTCCCATTTCTCATGAGTGTCTTGCTTATAACCGTTTCGCCGAACAGGCGAGCTGGCTAATCCCGTTAAGATTGTCTCCGGATGAAGGAGCAGAAGTCAATTTCGAACCACGTACGTTACGGCGATGTCAGTATGCTCCGAAAGAAGGCGTTGTGCATATGCAAAGCTGACGCGATTATAGATTAACAAAAGCGGAGTTACGAAAAAAGCAGACTTCTCGCGCTTGCAAAGAAAGAAGGGGAGAGCGTCGTAGCCCCGCGAAAAAAGATGATTTCAGTCACGTTATTTACAGTGCACAAATTCCGATTGTTAGCGCGAGGACGACCAACATCTTCTGCTTCGCTGCTTCTTTACTTCTACGATAAAGGCCGACACCCGTTGAACCGTCTCCACTCTTTTCATTTTTGAGTCTTCTTTCTTTTATATTTTTGAGGCGACGGCACTCTGCCGCGTTATTTCTTCCTTCTGCTTATATGTTGCTGTGTATATTTTTGTTTGCTTTTTGCTTTTTCTTTTCTTTTTTTTGCCCGACGTGTAAACAATCGCGTATCCTTGCTTTGTTTGGCTTAGTTTTTACTCCCTTTCCTTCGCTTCAGCGCTTACTACCCCTGGTTCGTCTGCGCTAGGCCCGGGCATTTTGAGGGCCGTCTGCAACTTTGCTGCTGTGTTTGTTGTTTTCTTCCACTGTCGTCTCCTATAACCTCCTATTTTCGCCTTCGATTGAGTTTCTAATCCAAAATCGTCATACGTGCTTTTTGATATTTATTAAATATATTAAGAAGTGTAAGCTCGTTACCCATTTTTATTCCAATTTTATTTCTGTACTCCGGCCGGCACGTCTGCTACGGGTCATCGTTTGTTGGTCGACCGGCCGCATTCGAGAACAAGTTTGTGCGATGTGGTGGAAAATCTTTCTTCTGCTTCCTACATCGACCTACGGACACCTACGTCAACAAGTACTTGAATGCACTTTTAAACTGCTTCGTCAAGCGAGCGAACGAACAACCCGCCAAAGTCACTGGAAAAAGCAATTCGAAAGCAAAAAAAGGTTTCTCACTGCTAGCACATATAGAAGATTGCTGCCTGCGACCAAAACATTTCTGCGACTCTTTTTTACCGGGCAGTGTGAGCTGCACTACGTTATTTATTTTCCCTGTTTTGTTTTTAGTTCGTACCTACGCCGCGAAAGCAAATAAAGAAATGTACAACAAGCAGCTGAAAAAAAAAAGGGTCGCTTTCTTCTTTTTTCATTAGTTTCGTCTGTTGCTTCCGCTTTGTTTGTCGTGAACTCAACACCGGTGGCGACCACCAGCTATTCATTTGCTGCTTTCCATTTTTCTTTCTTTTTTTCTATAAGCGCCGCAACGACCGTCGTTGTTGAAATAGTTTTTTGCTAGCTTCTTTGTTTTATTCGCCGTTGTTCGCTTCTCTTTCCCGTTTCTTCTTATTTTCGTCGGGAATGGCGACACCATTTTTTCTGCAAAGTTCGGTAAGTGTTTGCACGTTCATTTTTATCCTTACGTTTTGTTTTGTTTTTATGCTCCAGCAGCTCGTGCGCTTGCTCTGCTAATATTAACATGTCGTTTTTGCATGTTTTAACGATTACGACGTAGTTCGAGTAGCTAAACGCCTTTTTTCCGCTTCCCAGACGCGTTTCAAACGCGTGTGATCCCCTGAGAGGCGTTTGAGACCGCTAAATAAACTACTCTATCTTTGTTTATGGGCGCGTTGTTATTTGATTGTCGTTGCAGTTGCGATCAGTGGATTCCGCTTTGCAAGCGAACTGACCGTAATAAATTGTTTCTGCTGTTAGGGTGACGATACGGGGCTTGTAAAGCTCGAGGACGTCGCGGAGCCTATACTTTTCCATTGCGACGACTGCTTCCGCAGACTCCGAGTCCGCTAGAGGCGCCACTGTCACGTTCGCCGCCGCTCCTATGTGTTTTCGGAGGAGTTTCCAGTATTGGCGAAGCTATATTGTATTTGGTTATTATAATGTACGCTAGAGGTTCAAGTGGCGCTAGTGTGCTGACGCAAATTGAAGCAGACAGCAACCAGTCCAAAATCGACTTACGGTAATGCATTCCTAGGGGAAAAAGTGAGTGCATTTTCTCCCTGCGCTCAATCCTAAGAGCAAATATCTCAAATAATTCGTACGTACTAGGTAGCTTGGAACATTTCTCAGTCAGGCCGGCAAAATAACTGGTCAGTTACGGCGTTCTTCTTTCAAATTCATTGCATTAAAAACGGTGCTGGAACGGCTTCGTACGTGTATTTATGTGCACTGTCAGACACTGTTAGCGCGAACACGGTTCTAAGTGGACTGTCTGGACCAAATCCGAGACATATAGTTGTCCGACAGGGACGATGCGGGACTCCGGACGCTTTATGAAAAGTCGGGACAGTCACGAAAAATCCAGGATGGTTGGTAACCCTACTGCCGCCACTTGCTTTTAAGGGTCGCACGAGGTGCGGGCTTGTGCATTGGCGTATTTAATGATTTGATGCTCCTTGTGAGACAAAGAAATGCATCAAGGGGCTTCATTACAGCGCGGGAATGTTCGGAGTGTTCTAGGGACTCGCGAAGCGTGTGGTTACGCGGCGCGTTCTTGCCACTACAGGATGATTCAAGGAGAGGCCAGGCTCTTTAAATCGACCACAAAATTTGGTTTCTTAACCTATTGCGCTACGACTTTGTACAGCGTTGCACACAGATGGTGCTTTTTTTTTTGTAAAATTTGCAAAGAGCAAACTTACTTGAGGAAAAAGTAAAGAAAGAAAAAGGCTTAGCTCCTATGGAAACGCAGCAAAGCCACCGGTCTTCAAACAACACAGCGCCGTTTCGCACGGGAGACAAGAGATGGCGCAACCGGTCACGACGCCTACTGCTGCCAACAAACAAGCATACGACGCCGAAAGCCGGAGTCTTTAGCAGACGAAGAGCTGCAGTTCCTTGTTGTTACCGTTCCTGTTTTTTGTTTCTGCAACCTGCGGAATGCGCGCCGCTTTTGAGCTGAAAAGATTGTCTGCTTAGGACGCCGGCTCTCGGTGCCGTATGCTCGTTCATTGGTGGCGTTCGTTGCGCCATCTCTTGTCTCCCGTGCGAAACGGCCCCGTGTTGTTTGAAGATCGATGGCTTCGCTGCATTTCCATAGGAGCTAAGCCTTTTTCTTTTTTTACTTTTTCCTCAGGTAAGTTCGCTCTTTGCAAATTTTACAAAAAAAATGCACCATCTTTGGGCAAGGCTGCACGAAGTCGTAGCGCGATAGGTTAAGAAACCAAATTTTGCGGTCAATTTAAAGAGCCTGGCCTCTCCTTAAATAACCCTGTAGATTGGCTGCGTAGGTAGTGGCGTTGGCCAAGTCACTCTAAAATTGAAAGTAAAAGCCCGTCGCGCAGCGGCAAGACAATGCACGCTGCCATGGCATCACTACACCGTACATGTGTCACCTCACATTGACCCTATTTTTTGCGTGGTGCAGCAGACAGAAATCTTACGCAGACCACTCTCCGGCAAAACGGTGAAACCAATTTTAGCGGAGTCAAGCAGAGGACTCGTGCCGGGAGTCACCATCCGTGCAAACTGTGAAAACAGCAACAACAAATGCTCCAGCTTGGGGCACTCGGTGCTGGTGTCGCCATCTCGTTGAATCCATTGAGAATAATTCTAGCGAAAACTGTCCTGTCAAACTTATCTACACAAATACGCAAATACCGAGACTTTTAGGCTTCCCGTCAGCATCATAAAATTGAAGTAGGAGACACCTCTAGTCCGCACTACCATTCATTTTGACACTTTTATCATCTAAGAAAATATAATTTCAAAATTGCCTCAAAATGCGCTCAAAACAGTTAGGACGGTTGTATTTCTGGACTTTATTAGAAATCTCTAGCACTCTTAGGGGAAAATTCAAGGGTCATACGACTTTCATTACATCTTCAATAATGAACCTCAAAGATGATCGATAGCCTGGCGCACACCTGAAACTCAGCTGCATGTAGCGGAACTCGCCCACTAAATGACGAGCGGGTGAATCCCCCTAAAGCCTAACAACCACTCGAGATTCTGCAAGGCAGAAGATCCTCCTGATTACGAGGGAGGAAGAAACAGGCAATGGTGAACAGTGTAGAAGGGGAGAGAGGAGGAAGCGAGAGAAAAGCGGAAAGCGCAAACTGGTCGTTGGTCTTTAAAGGAGCGGGAGCGAAGGGGCGGCCTCACCAGCCGTGGATGCCGTGGCGGGCCATGAGGTAGCGGTTCTCCCGGGTCTCCACGCACACGTAGATCTGCTCCTTGAAGCGGCCCGTGTCGGGCTTCCAGCGCTCCACCATGTGGGTCTTGTTGATCACCACCAGGGCGTCGAAGTTGGCCGTGTTCACCCAGCTGCCCGTGAAGTTGTCTGGCAGCGTGCAGCTGGGGGCCACCACCTCCGTCTTCACTGCGAGGCACCCACCGCAAACCAAAAAGTGCTACAGGGGCGCTCGCAAAAAGACACACTTAAATGCGTAGCATTTATGAGACAGTTTCAGGAGACACCTTTTTGGTTGTCTTTCGCCAATGTTTTTACCGTACATTCCGCCCAAGCCTCCAAACTGGTCCTGGAGTGGCAATAAACTGTGTGTGCAATTGTTTGGGTGCAGTATTTTCTAAAGCGATGTAAAGTGAAAGACAATATTCTTCTCTTTTTATTAAAGTGTCTTTAACATACTTTCAAACTGACGCTGAGAATAATTTTGCCACTGACAGGCACAAATCAAACTCTTTTTTTAGGCTATCTAAAATTTCGATAAAACAAAATATGGCCGAAAAACTTCCGAAAACAACCAGCGTTTATACGGCGCGAGGTTGGATAAGGTTTGCCCTTCCTCCCTCAAGACACAACGTCCGTTCGTCTCGCTTCGTCTGTCGTTATGGCCAATAGACCTCATTGAAAGACAATTGAAATGCCAAATAGCAGGCCGGGATTGCAGCTAATCGTTTGGCATTTCATGTCGCACAATTGTACGATACAAATGTAAGAGCTCGTGCCTAACAATCATCCGTGCGCTGTACAAACTGTAATTAAAAATTTACTGCCAAAGAAGACTGCAGATGCCGTCCCCACGGAGCTACAATCACAACCTGTCCTCAGAACGAAAGTCAAGGAAGACGACGCTCAGAAATTGTTTTTCTCAGCTAGGGAGGCGAGGGTCCAAACAATGAACTGGGTGTTACGAATAAATATTGGGTTATTTCCAAAACATTTTGCAGCGAAAGCTGCTATAGAGACTTTCCAGCTATACTTGTGCCGTTGGTGCTGTGCCAGCCAGGCAGAGAACTTTGTTTCACACGAGCTCATGACTGCACCACCCAGCGACATTACGCAATGTGCCCACGCTTGGCTCTTGCCAGGTGGCATTGTCTTCCATGCTTAGCGGGCGACTGAACATTCTTCAGTGACATACTTCGTTTGAGTGTACAATTAGATGTAAGACAACCCACCACTCGTAACTGTACCCCTCTCTGTTTAGTCTTAAAGGGGCCCTGCAATCATATTTAAGCGTCTACCTTTTTTGCGGTTTCCACGTCTCTTGGGGTTCGGGGAAGCCAGCGGGCACGGAAAGAGTAACTAAATATCAGTGCGCCATATTTTAACCGGACGACGCGGAAACCTCCTCCACCGACGAGGGCGACCCGCAGTACCGAAAGCGCGCAAAATGTGACGTCTTTGGTCCTTGGCTTGCCACTGGTCAAAGCCGCTAAAAGCTTTTTTTTTAGTGGAGATACAAAATATAAGTGTTCGCAAACCGTTTCAATTATGTATGAAAGTAGTTTTTGTTCACTATTATAGATCAGAAAAGAAACAAATGCAGGTTAGAAAGTACAGAAACAAGAAATGACCCGTCGACATACCCGCCACCAAGCGGCGGAAAAAACGGCGCATACTAGAAAGAACTAGTGGGATGAGGCTACGACGAACGAGGAGCGTAGAAAGGTCCCGGATGTACGCGGTGGCGCTGCGGTCGTATACCGGCTCGAGAATCCGACTGGTTCCGAGCGTTCCGAAGGCCTTCGGCGCGGGCCCTGCTGGCGATTTGGCCATTTGTCGGTGCGTCAGCGCGAAGTGGCTCCCGTTCTGAACTGATCATTACCTCGTGTTTGCTGTCGTTTGTGGCCAATGAAGTGTTACGCCGAATTAGTGTTTAGTCGCGCAGCAAATGCAATGCGAGCTGCCCTGGCTGCCTGCTTCATACAGCCTACCCAACACGTGCTTTAGCGGCGCCCTCTCGAGCCGTCGACACGGAGTGCGGCAGCCGTGAGCGCTCGATGAGCTCACTACTCCTCCTCCAGTTCACGGCCACTCAAGCGAGGACCTAAGACGTCATGAAGGAGGTTATTTTTTGCTTGTTTTTGTAATTCTCTAATTTGCCTATAACTTTTAAAATAAAGCGAAATTTGAGAAAAGAAAATTTTGATTAAGTTACTACGTTCACTACGCTCAGGTTCAGTGCAAATTAAAAACTAGTCAAAAAGTCATCGCAGGGCCCCTTTAACCACGGTCCAACCCGACATACATTTTATTTATGTGCACAAGAGCCCGTAAAGATGTCACCTCTACGGGTTACGTGTTCCGGCCTCTGTTTCTGAAGTTCAATATTTTATTTAAGGGGGGACATGGCCTGGGAGGGTCAACTTTTGAACCGTTTCCTTAAATTGATTCAAACTTTCAGGGTGAACTGAACCCCATTAGGATTGATGACATCTAAAGTTTCAGTCTTGTAGGCCAATTCTACAACACCCAATGCTTAGAAAGCTCCAGAAAAAAGTGACTTCAGGAGGAAATGTATTTAAAAAATTAAATAATTGCAATCCACAAAACGTTTGTTTTAATGTGAAATAGAATACCCATAGTGCAAGTTAAGGTAAAAATTAATTGTAGAAAATGCAATTTTAGAGAAAAACAATAACACCCAAAATGTGCAAAGGATTTTATCAAAATTCTGTGTTTTCAAATATTCAGTTTTTGTCATGAAGAAGTTAACTTTTTCAGAATATGAGTTCCTTAACTTGTTCCTCAGGAAATTTCAGTCCAGGACACCATTGAATGAAATCTTTACACTTTCAAAATATCAAATGATACATTTCCTCATACTACATTTCATGCCAAAAAGTGGAACGGAGAAAAATGGAATTTAAGTTTCAACTTCTGTTTTCTTCCTTTTCTATGAGCCCGAGGTAGGCAAAATTCACCTGGGACATTGTTAGCACCTTCCTCTTTGAGACTTTGTTGTTCCCCTGGCAATAGCTACCAGTCTGTGTCATTTATAGGCAAGCTAATTTTAGTAGCAGCATTCCTTGACGGATAAACTGGCAAGAACTAAGAGGCAAATCATACTAAGGAAAAGCAGCAAAGCAGAAATATGATCTGAAGTGGAAGATACTGTGAAGGGCTGTTACTGAAGATGAAACAATATCACGTTGCCGGGCAGGACCAATCGTAAACCCTGTTTCGGGTCTCAACCAATAAGATTGCTCATACCAAATTTTCAGGATTTTTTCTGTTTGAATGTAAAGGGATCTCCTGGCCATTGATATTTTTAAACTTTGAAAGCTTCTATGGGCGAAATCTAGAGTAAATGGCGCTTTCAATGAGGGCAAAATGTTCTGGCTATGTTAAACAAGTATGAAGCAGCACTAAAAAAAAAAAAAACACAAAACTTGCTCCCTGCTGACTTGGAGGGCTGCCGACATGTCGAAAATAATTTATTGTGAGATAAATCCTGCATGTTTATAAATGAAAGTTTCTGAAATCATTCTTTGGAAGTTAATAAACATAAACATATAATTTTTGAAAAAAACATTTTTTTCTGAAAATTTGGAATTCCGAGGCCATGTCCCCCCTTAACTTTCCCGGGCATCCCATATTGTGACGTAGCCTCCCGTATTCGGGGAACAGCTGATCGTCAAGCACTTCCTTTACGCTCCACTGCCGGTAATCACGTGCCCTCGCGTGCTTCATGAACAAACGCCGTTTGCGATGCCTGGGTCGTCGAGCGCCAGATGCCGCTGGCTTTTTGCAGGTTATTTTTCTGCCCTTTACCTGCCCGAGTAATCTGTCTTGTCGCAAATTTATGTCGGTATGCGGCTTTGTGCGCGATAGTTTCTGTGTGATGACGCGAAAATTAGACTGTTGCGTCAGCGACGAGTGTTCAACATCCCTGCGCGAGACTGGCAAAAGGTTTGTCAACACCGCTTCTCTCTGTCGTTTGCTGTATGACCCAGACAAGCTGCGGCACAAACTAGTGCTTGTGTGAGCTTCCCTCGCAGTGGTTTCTGTGGGGCAACGTAAAAATGCTGCAGTCACCACTACCGGTGCTGTACACTGCACAATATGCTCGAGTGACGTCACCACCGTGCTGCCTTATTGGACTCAGTCTAGTCGTCTGCAGAGTTCATTAAATGAAGGACGCCTACTGAAATGACGCCTTCGAAGCAGTATTTATTTGTTAGTGAAACGCGGTGCCCGCGCCAAGCATTGTGGTTTGCGATCGGTTGCGTGGTAAATCGGGTAAGCAACGATTGCCTAGTCCCATCACTGTTGCAAGTGGAGAGTTACAGTCGTCACCTGCTGTCACACTTGGCAACACGCAGTGGGAAGGTTTTTGTCCCTCTTCTTTGTACTGCAAGATGGAGTCAGGTACTTTTGCCACTTTGTGACGACGTTGTACCACTCGATTCGCAATTTCGGTTTGGTATCAGATTGTAATGCACACGTCATTTCTAGCTGTACATTTTTATAAAACAGGCATGTTAGAATTGGGTAAGTATGGTATATTTTACACCGTGGCCGGAACGCACATCGCTTTTACGTTTTCCGGCACATGCGAAATGCATCTCGGTTTCGACCATGCTTATGGGCAGGGACGTTGTCTCATGTGTGCACTGTGTCCCCCTTCTTACATACGTCAGCATGTAGGAATAACGCAATAACAGCTATCGCGATCGCTTCGTTGCACACTGTGGCAAAAAGCTGCAGATTTTTCTGCACTGACAAGGTCCATCGGCTGCTCGTTGAATTAGAAAGCCATACCAACAGCCCTGCAAATCGTCCAATACTCTTTGAACGTGGATCTGCGGCGGCTTTATCGTAAAATCCTGCACGTATGCCCTCCCGTTTTTCTGGCTAAAAGTCTCTAACATCAAAATTCCAAAACATCGCCCATCCCCCAGATTCCCGCTAGGGCACCGCTATTCAATGTCCGACAGGTATGACATTACCGTGCGACCTGTGGTACTGGTACGTGCGGCAGTCGAGTTCGTAGCGGGTTCACGCACGTTCATCGCACCACAACACACGAATCTGGTGCGTCTAAGACCTACGGTATCTGCTCCCTCAACACGCGAGTTTGCAGCTGGTTCCTGCATCTTTATTGCATCATTAAACCCGAACCTTCTGCGTCCGCGATATTCGTTCCCGTGAAACAGGAGTTTGCAGTGATTTCCTGTGCATTTATCACAATGCAGAACGCAAGCTTGCCGTGTCCACGACGTGCGGTGTAAGTTCCCGTGTCGCACGGTTTGCAGGAACTGCTCCCGGACTTCTCGCTACTTTCCGGATAAAATTTTGCAGCCGCATCCCCAAAGATCGCGCACCCCATGTTCTTCACCACTTATCATTTCGAGCGAGCATTCTTCCGGGATGATGCGGTAGTCGGGCCTCGCAGAGTGCAAACTTACCCTGTTCGAGACGATATCGCTCCGGGGATTCCTGGGGCGTCTTGAGCGAAGAGCACTCGGGGGTGATGGACACCCCGAGGAAGATGTCGTCGTCCCGGTTCGCCAACTGCGAGGGGCGTCAACTCACTCACTCACTTCGTCAGCCACGTAGAAATTATCCCAGAGGCTGGATCGCACAATCTCTTTGACTCTCATTGAGTGCGCAGTGTTTGCTTGTAACCGCCAACAACGAGAGGATGCAGAGGGGCCACCTTATGCATCATTCATTCACCATACGTTTAAAATAATTTGGACAATGTTACAGCGACCATTAGTCATTAATAGTGCGTAGATTCGATCTCGCAAAGACTGCAAAGGTTTTGGTGCGTAGTGCATGCCTCGTACAGTGTTACGAGGCTGCACAACACATGGCGCCGGTGTGACAGTGTTCACTAGTCGTAAGTAGTTCAAATGGGGTAGATCAGACTCAAATGCAGACGTAATAACCAGCCTCAACTGTACGAAAAGTAACGATTCTCCGGGAGAACAAACAACCTTCGGGGGTGGTGTGGCAGCTTTGAGTTTTTAGCACATTTTGGAGAAGTGGATGCACAAAAATCTTGTTTTAAAGTGCCTTTGTATAAAAAAAAAAATCACACTTTGGAGCAGCTCGGGAGTGTGTTACTTTGGGGGCAATTCGGCACGGCTTCCTATTAGTGTGCCAAGGTGCATCGATGTGACCACTACTGCGTGATGCCCGTTAAAAACCTCAAAGTTAGCAGCACACTGCACTGGCCAAATTGCCCTTCTACGAATGTAAAGTGGTGCCACAAACACTCAAATTTGGCTTTTGCTTCCATTAGTGCCAGTGGACAAAGGTTAGCAGGATTAATATAAGCGTGCTAATTGCCGCCACCCAGAAGTCGACGTAGAGAACTAATTTAACGTTCTCGACGGGAAAAGAAGTTCCAGAACTCGGGGTTACCCGATTAAAAAATTAGGAGCAATTTACGGACATTTTCATTATAAAACTGGACCTACCCCCGGCAACAGGCGCTATTTACATCCGCGTATTTGTGTGCTTTGTTGGCCGCCATTTTTCCCTCAAAATTTATGAAAATCACTCGTACATTTTTTGACTGGATTACGGCACCCTCCAAACATCAGCCTCACCCTCTGTGTGCAGATGTGGGCGAGGGTATAATCACATGGTGGGAGATATGCATATTACTGGTCTAATAAGTATATAGCTTTCACCGTAACTTCAGTAACAGAGCAGAGTGCAATCTCGGGTTTGCTTTAGTTTCACATCCATCTCTAATGCACAGGCAGTTTCTAGGTAAATTTTACGCATACTTGAGTGAACGTGTATATATTGTAGATTGTGCCTAATGGCTTCGCCGATGTTCAATCCTCTCCAGGTTTACTCACAAAGCATCTGTACTTTTCGTCAATTCTGCTCTCCCGGCTGTTCATGACGGCGAAAAAGTGGTCCTTGCCGATGAACCAGTCTCCCAGGCAGTTGTACTGGACCTCTGCGGGAGACAGAAGCAGCGGGAAAATCACTCGTTTCTCGCAGTTCATTAAAACCTCTCATTGAGAATGTTTTCTAAATAGTACAAGTCACAACCGTGGATGGATGTAGGAGTAGGCGGTAACTCCAGTATTTTACGAAGCCCTAAGTCGTGCTTTTTTTTCAAAACGCTTTGTCGGTGGTCCTTATGCAACAGGATGACTTAGTAAAAGCATTTTTTTGGTATAAGACATTACCTGCAGAAATTCGCCACGGGGCTTATATTTCTCGTTCGATTTTTCAACGAGAATATTGAAACTTGCCATAGCACGCACAGTGCAATCATAATTCACTCATGCGGGCTTTTCAATGCGGTTTCACCGAGAATAACGTCGCAACCGAACATCATCGAATTGTCCTCAACCGACCTTGAACTCGACCGGTATTGAAACTTGCTAACCAGATGGGCACTCTCACGCCCCGCCTAAAGCCACTAAATCCTACGCTTGAGGTTAAAGACACTCGAGTTGTCTTGTTGCTTAAAACCTCCATTGCCATCTGAAGCTTTCTCTAAAATCGAGAGAAATTCTTTTCTGCCCTCGAGAAGCGGCGAAATTGTCCGCGACAGAGCAAAACGAAATTGGCTCAGCTTCTCGACAGCATGCCTAAGGATCTGAAAGTCACACCTTTTTATTGTAAATATAGTGCAATCCACTCATAGCGATATTACATTTTACGATGTACTGTTTATAACGATCAGTTTCTAGAGTTTCTAGAATAGAAACGCTCAGTTTCTAGTCCAGATACGATAATCAATTATAACAATTTAATTTTCTGGTTTTCACACTGTACCACCGAATGCACCTGCTATGCATTACGCAACAAAATTGCTGGACCCAAAAGAAAAAAGCTGCCCCTATACGGTACTAGCACGGCTAAGGCAGTGGCAACGCAGAGTTTGAAGCGTTGGTGCGGCGAAACTGCACACACATCTAGAGGCTGGATGGTGCGAAGGGTAGAACCCAGTGCGCCACGAGATTGCGGCATTTTCCGTACAGTCTCACCCTCCTCGGTTCGAGAAAGGGAGCAGTTTTCTAATGTTACGTGCGCACGGCTGACCTTGCAGCCCCGTGTCTTGCACGGTAAGCACTCCGTGGACGCCTTGTTTGCGGGTGTCGTGTTCCGCGGTGGCGGTGTAAATGCAACTTTCTCAGAGTTTGTTGGAATGTGAGGCGAAGCAGACAGGGCGCGTGGGAAACGAAACGATTGGAACGCAGCAGCGCCGAGCAGAATCATGGCACCAGCTCGTGGCAAAGAAGAACGAAACTCTCCAGCTATAGCTCAATTTGTTGCGGCAAAGTGAGAACGTCCAGAGTTTTTTTTTACCCACTTTGTTGCAGCTTTCTTTTGCGCTCCTTCACCGAGGAAAAACGGAGCACGCTTGTTTCACGAAGCAAAGTGCCACTCTATGTCCGAACACACAATGTTCTGCCCCGCCTGGGGGAATGCGGAGGCACTAGAGAAAGACGTTTGGCCGGCAAGCAGTTTATCAACTTCCGTCCTTGGTTGTAGACAGGAAATGGTTCGCGGGTGCCCACCATGTAACACATTCCACATTAAAATCGGGGGAGAGAGTGTTGATACACTAATTGAAGCATAGCTTACTTAGTGACTCTAGCCATGCCAAACACACACCAACCATGCTAGCAACTTAAAGGCAAGCAACTTTTTTTATGCAAGCAATAACTGCAAACAGACACAGAGAAACTCTTGCACGCAACCGATAAATGCAATAATGTGCCACGGCGAACATCAAAGGGTCTCACTTTCACACCGCAAAGAACTGTATATTGCATGCAACAAACGAGCGCAGGCAACTTTGCTCGCAACCAATAAATGCAAGGAACTGCTTCTTGCATGCAACATTATCGAGTCTTGCCTTCATGCCGCAAACATCTAAGCAACACTATATTTAATGCAACCAACAAATGGAAGCAACTTTATGTTGCATGCACGCAACTGTACCTTGCATGCAACAAAAAAAAACATATTTGATTTTACACGCAACTAATAAATGCGAGCAACTGTCTCTTGCGCGCAACATCAGTGGGTCTCGCTTTCATGCCACAAACATGGAAGCAGGAGTATCTTGCATGCAACCAATGAATGTGGGCATCTTTTGTTTCATGAAGCTAATAAGTGCGGGCCACTTTTCAGGTGGAAAGGGGGGAGATAAATGCAAGAACTTGCCTCCTTCCTCGGTCTCTGCCATGCCCTCACACTGCTTGTAGTTGATGGTGAAGCGTTGGTTGACGTTGAAGAACTGGGACCCCGCCAGCTGGCAGGCCGTGATGTTGGCGTCCGGGTGCTTGCACTCCCCGGTGAACTTGTAGAGGTTGCGGTAAGCAAACTTCCACACCCCTTCCAGGCTGGAGCGGCAGTTCTTGGACACCGGGTTGGTGGCTGAAGAGACAGAAGCAAGAAATATAGGTGGCACCCAAGAACCATGAGAACTGTGTATACAAGGTTCTGGCTTGTTCCCTGCATCACATTTCTAAGGTCAATTACCCTTTTATGGTTGGGTCTTTTTACAAAGGGATAGTACAAATAATAAGTCGACGCAGCTCCTTAATAATCTCATGGGAGTACAAACAGTGCTTACAAGTTGTCCAGAATGGGAAGCATTAAATGGAAATATTGACGGTGAAATATTGTCGCCTTTTTTTCATTCAGTTGATTGGACCTGAGCATCGCGTGAGCACTCAATATGGGCTCGTGATAATTAATAGCTCGATAAGCATTCGGGTAGAGGCTTGTGTCCAATTGCTGTAAAGATGAAAATAGCCGAACTCCAACAATGTCTGAACCCAGCGCGTGTCCTGAGCTTTGCCAACCCCAGCATGTGGCCGTCATAAACAATGGCGGCATATAATCGTCTCCAGACCACTTAACCTCTTATAATGGCTGCAAATTAAAAAAAAAAAAAAAAGTTTACTTTTTTTTTATTATTATGCGTGGGGAGAACAACTAACGCATGTTTTGTAGGTTATAAACGCTGGAGATTTATTCTAAGCAGTACTTGCGCGACATAAAAACTTTGTTTCACCACCCCTTTACAGAACAAGGTGGTCAAAGTGTTGCTGCTCCGATGTGTAGCTTCTCTAGAGCAACCCTGCAAAGTGAGGCTCTGTGGGGATCTTAGCTCACTGGAGGTGATGATCTCACTCACCGAAGAGGGTGATGAGCTCTTGGTTCGGGTCCAGGGTGCGGCACACCGTCTTGAGGCTCGGTGTTTCACCATCTTGCAGATTCACGCAGCCAGCTACACGTACCAAAATATGGGGCAGTCAGTACCACCAAGTGCAGGGGTCCATCGCCATTTCTAGGTTACGAGGGTGATTCAAACGTTATCTGCACCCTGGCTGTAGGATTCATTTCAATCAAAACATTTCCAAACCCAAGCCTGCCATAGATTATTGCGTGAGCAATATTTTGGTTTACTTGCATCTATCTGACAGAATTCGTTCACGTGCAAGCTCAATGCTGTTGTCAGTCATGGATGGGCATCTGGCTCCCTTGTTACGGCTGACACTTGTGCATCCTTCCTTGAATTTCGACCTCTGCTCAAACACACTTCTTTGCAACAAAACACTTCCTTTATATTGTGCGCAAAGTCTTCGATGAATATTGGCACCAAACACACCCTCAGTCAACAAGTCAACAAAAAACGATGGCTCGCCACTTGTGAAAACCACAAGTGGGGCAGCCATCTTTTCTCGCATCTCAGTGACAACTGAATTGATTTAATGCATTCATACCTGCATAGCAGTGATTGGAGAGACATCGACCTCACACGAAAAGTGCCGGTAAGACAGTGCGGCCAACGGAAGATTTGAGGTAACCAAAGTGCAGATAAATTTTTAACTAGCTCATACTTTCAGTTGTTTTTCTTCTTAAGGGGAAACACATTTCTGAGAGCTATTCTCCTTCTTTTTTTCTTTTTTACCAAACCCAATGGAACTTCACAAGCTTTTTAACTTTTTTTGCACAGCTTTCAAATATCTGGCCATTTTTTTTTAAAGCGGCAAATTCATTAGTTTTGAGATATTTAATACCTTTCCATCTTTGTTTGCCGGAATACAAAGAAAACAGTTCAACAAATATTTTTTTGTTGAACACGTGGCTAAATTATATGAAATATAAGAAATGCATTGTTGGAAGTACTTTTGAGATTTGTGGGCACAGTAAAAATTAAGCTTAACTTATTACTATCATTACAACACATTATAGTTTAGTATTCAATGCGTGGCTACTGAGTAACTAAACTTATCAATTAAAGAATTTCCTACACCTATGCCAAAGGTTTTGCTCTCAACACTGTATGCTTCGTTACAGTTACTACTAGTTACGAGGCTCAGTTCCAGCATCAACTTCAACGATTTAGGGGTGCACAAAGTAAAGCCTCGCACTCCCTAGACATCGTTAAGACGAAAGGCCGGTTCACATGTTTACGACTGCTTTGGACCAAAAGCCTCAATATCTCTTACAACGAGAAAGCAAACATTGAGTAGCCAAGGAACACTTGCAATTTGCACATATTTCCTTCTTTTCTTTTTCGCACGCCATTCTCTATTTTTTACACCGGAAAAACTTTCGACGATGTCATAAACAACCGTTTCTCGTAGATAGCACTTACATTTAATCTCACAAATACGGGAAAATTTTGCTCTAGTGCAATGCAGCTCCAGGGCCGCCTCATAGATGGCGCCAGCCTCGTAAGAGATAGCGAGAACTAGGTGGTAAAAAAATGCAAGCGCATGACAACCAGCCTATGGGCTGTCTGCTCTCGAGTAGCACACGCTTAAAGAAAGAGGCCAACTTACTTTCCACTTTCTGCAACACGTTCAAGGTTCGCACGAAAATGCGCACGCAGTAAAAGCAGGAGCTGGAAAGAGGAACAAAGAAGAAACAAGGACCGACACGGTGAGTGCAAGCGGCAAGACGCCTCGAACCTGTGGCTACATGACTGCATAGACGCAGAAAGCACGAGGCAAAGGCGCGTGTCAGAAAAAATGGGCAACATAAATAGGGTTTCAGGTTTTATTTTTCTTCTAAAGGGGGGAGGGGGGTTTTCGGAGTTTATTTTTCCGTACAGATTTAGCGTTTTACCGACTTCGACAGACAAGCAAACGGCATTTGTCGCGGCTTATTTCGAAAAAAACAGGACACGACCATGGAATTTTCCTCAGACTGCCAGAGAACTTTTGAAGCGTAAAAGATAAGAAGGGAGCAGGAAAATAAGCGTGCAAGCCAATCGCCGGTTTATTTACACAAAAGAGAGTTTGCCTTTTTGAGCATGTGTCGACACATTTATGATGCGATTGTTTTTCTCGTCCCGCATACTTTCAATAAACGCTTAGTTGCAGTTCGGAGCCCGTCCCGTCTACTGCCCGTCTCTGTCCTCGTTTACTGCACACTGTATCACCAATTTCTGACGATTCCTCGAACTACGGGGAACCTGCATGCGCGTCAGGTTCCTGTGACAACGATTGTGGACCGAAATGAGAGGGCAGTAAGCTTGTTTTTAGTTGCAACTCTCCCATATTAACTTTCGAATCTTAATTTTTCTCTTTGCTTTACGTTTAATGCTTCTTCGTCTTTTTTACTGCAAATACATACTCTGATCCTGCCATGGTTGTCGTCTCCCTCGCTCCCTGACGAACGTGACAATGGGACTTAAATATGACAATGTGATCGCAACCCTCGCCCACAAGCTGCATTTAAACATAGTCAACATCGTAAAATACCGTTGCATCATCATTAGACCCAGTGCTGCAAGCCTTCCTGATATGGGTGACTTGCCTTTACGCAGCGCCACGGCTCTCCTGAGCTAGAATAAATATCAGTATCGGCACCTGTAAATACTTGGAAAATGTTCCGGTACCGATAGGAAATGGGAACAAAGAACACGTTGTGGTTCCAGACAAATGTAGCAGCCTTGGAAACATTTCAGTGTCTGCAAGATAAAAGTTCCTTTCCGTGAAGCTCGCGTTTTCCTCAACAAACGGCGTGCGCACCTCGACAAATGATAATTAACTCGAGTAAATGTCGCCTATTTACGATTACAAATAAGAAAATACCGCTTCCTTCGCAACATTCAATATTAAACCGAAACATTGACTATGTAACTGCGTAAAAATATGTAGGAGTTCATTTCACCAACAATGTGTCCATGAAAAAGCATATATACCGACACACTGTCTACAAACAAGCCAACATTTGCCCCCCCCCCCCCCCAGGCGTGGGAAACGTGTGTGCACAAAAATCAGATTCGCATACCCTGCCAAGTTCAAAGAAACCAAATCCGGAAGAATTTCTAAGATGGGGGAGAAAGGGGGGGGGGGGGGGGGGGGGTGTAAAAGAAACACTGACAATGAATTGACATGAAGGTGACATCACTACATTTTGTATTGCAGTGCTCATGGTAGCAAGATACAGCTGAGTCTCACTATCATTGCTGCTGTTTGTCGCTACGGCAAAAACTCCTTGTTTAAGTGCGGGGAAGGGGGGGGGCCAGAATATTTTGCATTTTCTAAGAGGTTCTTTCTGTCAACCGCACAACCATCTGAAATGGTCGAAATTCGGGAGTCACCCGGGTAATACGGGAGACTTGGCAGGTATGGATTCGCGAGACGAAGCGTCTGCCCTTAAAGGGTAACTGCAAGGGCAAAAAGTGTGGATTTTTTAAACAGCCTAATGGGGACAAGCATGTCAAAAAACAAATCTTCGGCGAAAACAGAATTTCTTTTTAGCAATATTTACGCCACAAGATATAACTTTGTCGGAGTTACAACCTCTCCACATTTGAAACTCCCGCCCTTTCAACTCGCGCGGAGGAGAGGTACGCCCCGCCTCTCCCTCTTGGACTTACTTGGCTGCGGAGTTCAACGACGTACGCAGCGTCTCGACTTATGGAGCGTCTCGTTGAAGATACGCTGCGGAGGACGGCTGCCAGCCACGAGGACCGCGCACCGCCCGAGCCTTCGGCGCGGTTGGACGACACCCGCTGGTAATTGAACTCCAGCTGTTCTTCGCTAGGCGGGACAAAGGACTGCGTCGCTGCTACCTTCTCGCGTGAGATGCCGCATGCTTCGACGAATTCGCCCCTGAGTGGCTCGGGTGTTACCCAACTGCCACGATTTGTCAAGACTGAAAGAAAAAGCTAGTGTACTGTTGCTATTGGCTGTTGCGATGTTACATGCAACCAGATGCCGCATCGGCCGCTGCCAGCTAATGCCACGGCCCGCGAGTATGTCTGCTGCCTGGAGGTTTTGTAAGTCGCCTCCAAGGCTCGTAGCCGCTGCATCACGGATCACGTCGACTTTTTCGGTGGCGTCCTAAACCCAGTCATGCTCCAGATCGCCTACCGGATGAGGGTGATGGAGCTGAACGACATGGAGCTGGTGTGGAACTTGTTTTATTGAGAAAAATAAAATTGCGGCTTCACTCAATGAAAGCAATCAGCTAACCCTTGTTTCTTGCTTATCCTTTGAAAACTAAGACAGCTTGAACGATTATATTGATTAGGCCAGTGAGAACTTTGCTCAAGGAAAGAGTGTGGGGAGTTTGAGACACGTGGTTTAAATATTTAGTTATGAACTAAAATAGAGTCGCACGCTTCACTCAACAGGAATTTCGCTTTTTCTCGGGGGTCAGCAGTCTTGTAATACACTGGCTGTGCGAGGTGCTCATTTTGGGCACACAGGTACTAGGCCACCACCGTAACTGGACAAGAACCTTGTTATACCAAAAAAATGTGGCATAGGGATAAAAGGAGGAAATTTCATAAAAATTTCCTCCATTTCAAAAAAATATTGTCCGTCGCAGGCTCTAGAGAGAACACCACTCGTCGTGGGGAAGGAACCAGTACACTACACATTTTGATTCAAACAACTTTACGTAAGATGGTTTGGAAGCCGAGAAAAAAGATCTGTCCGTTAACACAGAATTCGGACATCCAGAGGCTTCTGTGGACTGCTGTTACGTAATAACCTGGCTGTGCCAGGTTTTTCACGTAACAGCTGTCTGGACGTCCGCTTAGTCGCGGACGTTCGGTGCGCCCGGTGCGAATCTCGAAGGCCTTTGGAGCGAAATGTCGGGAACATACCTAGACACATTTGTCGCAACGCGAACGCCCGGTTGCCTCCAGCCAAATAGCATTCAAATTGTCATCTTTCGGGGCAACATGGCTGCCGGAAGACTCGCTGTCACGATCACTCATCTGGTAGCACTTTACAGACCAACGGCGCTGCTTTACAGGAGCTGACATCTCCAAAAATTCAACATGTGCACGCACAAGCAAAAAAAAAGAAGAAAAGCATGTTAAGAAAGCAAAGAGGAAAACGAAAGTAACAAACCGTGCTAGCCGAAACCCTGCGTCGCTTCCTGTCACTAACACCTGCGACAGCTGCTCAACACACACGACTTCACTTCAGGAAGTCTTCCTCAAGCACCTGGGTCAACATAAAACACTGATCACTTAGGAGAAATGTCAAGGTAGGTGAGACAGGCGTTAGCAGAGACTTCGGCGGCCATGAAAAAAGTGGCAAAGCTTTTGTTCGTTATGGTATGAATTCAAATGGAAGTGCCCATTTTGTAAACCTCTTGTAAAGTATAATAACTCTAAATTATATGGGTTATTTTCTAAACATAAAAATATCCCACTCAAAAAGAAATTACAACATATCACCAGGGTCTAACAACCAAGATCTAAGCTGTCAATCAATCTTTAGCCAATGCTAAAGATAGATGATTGAGTTGCTATCACATGTTACTCCGTGATGTATAGCAGCCAGTCCGTGATGTATAGCAGCCACTCCGTGACGTATAATACCCACTTTGTGGCGTGTAATATAAAACGGAAGAAATAGCCGCAAACTAAAATCAGTCTCGTGCAATAAATATTGCATAAAACTTTTATTTTTTCAGGAAAAACTTGTTTTGTGACATGCTTGTCCCAATTAGGCCATTTAAAAAAACACTTTTCTTTTCTTTGCAGTTACCCTTTACAGCACCCCATAGCAGCACGACGCGAGAGTTGAGTTGGTGCACAGGGAGCAGAATCAACGATCTCTCTAGGAAACTGGGTTAACAAAAAGCCCTCAGCGCTCTGTTTGTACACTTCGTCTACTTGTCCTCCGTTTTTTTTTTTTGGCATTGTTTTACTTTTTGTTAATCATGTACCACCAACTTGCCCAACTTTGCACCATAGTGAAACTGGGTTCCCTTAAACGAAATATACTTTCCACTGCTCAGACAACGACACTTCTTGCTTATAAAATAATTACCCTTCCTAAAAGTTAGAATAGGCACACATAATATGGAACACAGAACAAAACTGATTAATGTTGCAGCTAGAAGCTTTAAAAAACAAAGCTGTACATTTTGTCTGCCACAGGTACTCCCCTCAAACAAGCTTCACAGATCTGAAGAAAGACTTCAAGCAAGCTTCCTTAGAAAAAAAGAAAACTAGCTCGCCAATGTTTTGTTGTTGTTTGTTTTTTTTTGTGCAATTTATCATAGCAAATCACTTTTCAAAACAAAGCACTTCCTTCCTGCTCGGTTCGCACCTGCCAGGGTTGATCATTTGTGCAAATTCAAACCGATTCGACCGCAAGTTAACTTGTTTCCGTTTCTCCCTCTCACCCTATCTACAGGGTGTCCCCGAAAAAAATTTACGAGGTTTTGTTCGTAGCAAAAATATACTATGCATCGTCAAACGCTAATTTTTCACCCAAAAGTAGCTCTAGAGGTCTGAACCCAATGCCAAAGCTTGTAGCACTAACCGTTTTGTTATTATGAAGTTATAAGTCATTTTCTGAAAATTGCAATGGGAATGTGGCAGCCGACGGAGCTCTTGAACACGTGGAGCTCCATGGTGCCAAAAAATCAAAAACGGACAAAAATGGACGACATTTTCTCATCGAAATTTTCAGAACATCACTTAAAATTTTTTCACTACATTTGGGTGGGAAATGGGCATTCGGCGATGCATATTTTATGTTTGCGGTTCAAAAAATAAACACTACATATTTGGGGGGGGGACACCTTGTATAAAGAACTGAATACAGGTCTCCCTGAAATTGTTGTCAACTTATCAGATCCGATGCTGAAACAGTTGTGATGAGCCCATTTGTTAACTTGTTCCTTCCTCGCCGACCTTTTCATATTGAATGATTGTTTTTGTTTCGCTTGTTTATGCACTCAGTTGCGAAAATCTTGTGTTTTGAGTTTTGTATTATTTATTGTCCTTCTATTTTTAGTAGCGACAGTTCCCTTATTACCATTTTTATACACATTTATATGTATATACTGCAATATTAATCCCTAGCTGTAACCCTGATTAGATGTACATATGTCACGATTTCTCCAACCATTGCTTTCACCCTCATGTAATGCATCGCCAGGTGCATCTGAGGTAAATAAACTAAATGAAATCGATGAAATAAAATTCGAGAATAGGCTCCTTTTTTGATAAAACCAGCTCGGTGGATGATTTTCGGGTTTCATCGATATACGACGAAAACACGGAACCCTAAATATAAATAGAAAGCTTATTTACTTATTTCGTTTATTTACAAATAAGCATGCGTCGCCTCGAGGCATTAGCAGGAGGCGAGTTCTACAAAGCATTCACAAAACGTCACTGGAATATATACTGAAAAAATTCTATCCAACATAACTAGTATAAAAACTAGCGCACAAAGATGTAGTCACAAAAACATTACCATAATTAAAATAAATATACATATTAGCACAGTATAAAAAGCCCATTATCTATCAGACAGGTTCCCGCAAAGTATACAGTGCTTTGGAAAAAAAAAAGAGAATCATTGAAACAGAATTTGTGGTTTTCGAAGTTCCCGAATGTGGTACGCAAGACACGTTTCGATGACTCCGGCCTCACCCCTTGTCGAAGATGATGGTGAAGTTGTCGTTGGTGCTGATGGTCAAGAAGAGGCAGCTGCCCCGGTTAGACATCCCGTGGGTGTCGATGACCGTGTACGTGTCGTCGCCGTACTCCTTGGAGTACCACTCCCCGTGCAGGGTCTGCGGCATCTGGCAGCGGTCCCAACGAGCATTTGCCACTCCATTGCCTGGATACACACGGTCCCCTCGTTAATCGGTCGTCAAACTTCTTCAAGAGGCACTCAAGTGCACTCTGAGATCCTCGTGTTATGGTCCTAACTAAATCTACGAGGCATCCTAAAAAACCCGAAACTATGATCGTGCACGGCCGATTTTAATATTAAAAGAGTGATCAAAGTTCCCGACAGTTCCCATTGGCACAGAACGACAGATGGCACTGAAGTATCTCGCTGAATGTGGTCGAACGACGGATGGTGCTTGTCAGTCGCTCGCCATCTTTTTGTAATCTACCTTTGGTTTAAAAATAAATGCGGACAATGATAGCAAAACTTGAACTAACAAAAATAAAAAGCGGCTGCATAACAACGGGGCTCTTGTTGAAGACGGATTTCGTCTGCGTGTCGTCGGCACCTTCCGACGTAGAGTTCCTGTATAGGCTCCCTATGGGAGCCAGAGTTGTGCGTCTGTTTTCTATGTGCCGGCGCACTGCTCTTTGTCGAGATCCAATCACGTGAGGAGCGAAATCCGCATACCGTGCAGGGAAGCCACGATACGGCCACTTCGCCAACGTTGTACACGCTTGGCGTATGTTCCCCTGCTTTTGTCTCCTCCTCCTTTCCTGTTTTCCAGGAAAGAAGGAGAAGGAGTGTACAGTGCCGCTATTAGAGCAACGCACGGGCCTACTTTCAAAGGCCCAGCCCAAGCCCGCTGACTCTTAGTCTTATCCGACCCAGACCCAGCCCGATGAGATGCCTACTTGATCAGGCCTAGCCCGGGCTCAGCCCAATGAGAGGCCAAAGCATGCCTCATCTCTTAATTTGAAAGCTGCCCTGGGAAGGTGCTGGAGGTTTTGATTTACTTACTAATTTGCACGAAAGACGCCGTCATATCACACTCGCGTGGTGAAGCTTTGCAAGCTTACACGAATATAAAAGACGTAGCTTATCTTTGGCAGAAAGAGTGTGTTTTTTTTTTCTTTCGAGAGTCCAAAAGAAAAAGGAGAGACAATCATACTGTCCATTGACTGTCCCGTGTGAAGGACTGCGCTCATTTTCTTGCCTGCTGGCAGTTGTCCCACCATGCTGACGGAATTCCCAGGATTCTTCTCTGTCTCTTTTCGTTGGCTTTTTAGTCTCAGACAGCTTTCTTTTGTATATAAGATTTTTTTACTCGCGTCGTAGCGAGTTCACACGTCGGCTTTTTCGTTTCTTTCAAGTCTAAACAATCAACGCTTAAAGGAAGGATCCCACTACTTATACATCATACCAAAGAGAGTCTCCATGCAGATTCGAAGGCAAGTCACAGCGAAATCCGTGCTTTGAATGTTGCATGGCAATGAGTGCAAGGAGAAACTTGGAACGCGCATATTCGAACCAGGAATATTGCGGCGATTCGTGTTTCCAGAATGTGTACTACATGATGTATGAGCAGTGGGACGCTGGTTTCAGCATTTGCTTCACATTGTTTCAGAAATTGTGCTACACCATTGCAAGAGCCCGGCCCGGGCCCGGAAACAATTCGTGCTAACCGGCCCAGACCCGGTCCATGGGCTGGGCCCGGGTTTTCAGGTTGGCCCAGCCTTGTGCAGAGCTTTATCCGCTATTCGCCGAATTCAGTCACGTGACGAGCAGAATTCCAGGTTGAGCAGGAAAGCCGGCACTAAGGGAATGAACGTGCAACTCTGGCTCTCGTAGGGAGCCTATACAGGAAATCTCTTCCAACGGTGCTCCCAGTGCCATCTATCAATATGTCCGCCAAACACGCCTTGCCACTTGACTTGGTCATGTGCAGGGTTGTAAAAGTTACTTCAAAAATGACCTCCGTTCACTCAAATGAACACCGCCATTCGCTCAAGTGCCGTTCGATAAAACATCATGGACGGGGCTTTGTTCGCTAAAACGTCGTTCAATCAAGTCGGTGTGTTGTGTTGTGTTCCTGAGTCTCGGGTTTTTATTACCGTGAATCACCACCAGCTCGCTTGTTTTTTTATGTATTGTTGCAGTTATCCTCCCAGGTCATACCCAACTCAACGTTAATCACGGCACATGGTAGTGAGTTAATACTTTAAAATTTATAGTTTCTACCATTTTGACGAAGTAAATAGAAAAGTACTAATAAAAAGTAACTTCAATTAGTTACAAGTTACTGGAAAATATACCTAAGATGTAGATACAGATACCAAGAAATGAAAGTACCAAGGTTTGTACCTCAGGCACAACAAAAGTACCTAGATACCGATTTTCAGTTACTTGTGCCTAGGTACTTTACAACCTTGGTCATCTGCAACGCCGTCTGCCGTTGACCCTGCCAATGTTTGTGGCCCTATTTTTTTACAGAAAAGGAGCTACGCCTTGTAATTCTACGAGAAAAAACTGACCTGTGAAATAGGGTGGTTCCCGTTTCGACCCATTCCCAAATCATCCTTCCTGTTTGTACCTTTCCGTTTCGACCTAGCTCAAAACGACCTTCTCGTTTCATCTTTTCCCATTCCGTCCTATCCCGAAAAACCTTCCCGCTTCGACCATCGTTCGCCATCAGTTTGGCCGGTTCGTTTGTATAGTTCGTTAACAGTTTATTAGGTTCAAATGTCCAATGTCTGTCCTCCTTGCTGACCTCAATTTTCCCTCTCCCGAGACAACCTTGGAGACATGGCACCATAAGATAAACACGGTGTCAGGGAGGGCTCACCCGAACATCTACAGCTTGTGGGCACCCTGGCGGCTTCCCAGCCCAGTTGCCCGACTGCGAGGCAAAGGTGTCGAACTTCTCCCGCGTGGCGGCGACGTCATGCCAGCCACGCGCTCAACGGATGCGCCGCCTTGATAAGGCGGATCAGAGGCAGCGCACAGGGAGTCGCTGCCTGGACTCAAGCGCCGCTGGTAACCATGTTAATCGTCTCGTCCATGTCCCATTAAATGAAGTTTCTTGTCGTTGAAACCGTTGGCTCCATGCTATTCCTCCGGGTCGGGTATGCAGCAAGGCAAACCGACCACAAGCTTCATCGATTTGATCACACGGGATGAGGCTTTGGCAAAGGTATATTTGCAGCAGATTGCAAAGAGTGGTGCCGTGCGGGCCAGGGGTCACAAGTGGGTCAGCAAGGACCGCAAACAATTAGAACTGGAGTGTCCCCTTCCTGATGGCAATATTTCCCTGTTTGATTTTCTCACCAAGGCGAAGGCATTTTTTGGCCTGTGATGTTTTCCTGTGTGTGCGAGTGTTCAGTGTTTGAAATTGTAAAAGAAACTAAACTTGCAATCATATGCCTGTCACCCTGTCTGATTTATCACTCTCCAAAATATCAAGATCACTAATACTAAGTTTTAGAATAACGTACGCAAGCACTTTGGGTACCCTAAATATAGCGTCGCGATGGCGACGCTATTTTTAGCTCACCGACTGTGCTTGTGCACGCAAGACTTCACTATTGTACATAGCGCGAACAAGCGATCGGCAATGTTGCTGTTTATCTCAAAGAATTAAAAGGCAAAAACTATTAGTCTTTGGAAGTGCTCACCTGAGCCAGTACCATAAGCCCTAAAATTTGGTGCCTGCTTATACCATTTCGAAGTAAAATTAAAAACAAAAAATGCAACAAGGTCGTTTTTGCAGTGATGGTATCGCAGAGCGTACATAGACCGTTTCGCAGTTGCGCGTTATGGGAATCACCTTGAAATAAAAAAATAAAAAAAAGCAAAAACACTTAATATTTCAGAACATATATTCTTAAGCAGAAAAGATGTGCAGACCAGAATTAGAACGATTAGACTTTTTGCGAAGAGGTTGTGATGCGCAGGATCTTATACAAATGGGTTGAAAATGTATAGGTTCAAATGCAAAGGGTTCTTTTGACTATCGGTTGAAACGGGACGGGTTCAAATGAGAAGGGCGTTTCGGGAATGGGACAAAACGGGACAGGCTCAAACAGGAAGGTCATTTTGAGAATGGGTTGAAACGGGACAGGTTCAAACAGGAAGGTCGATTCAGAATGGGTCGAAATGGAACAGGTTCTAACGGGAATGGGTTGTTTTTGGGCTACACCTATAAAATACATACGGCCCACTTTAAATAGAGCCTCGTCATTCCAAACACCCTATATATTGCACTTTTTGAAGGTAGCTCCACCTCTCCGTGGCGAAGTACACCTACCAAGAGTTTCCTTCTCAAAACATATAGTAGTCCTTCCTAAAGTGCCCTTCTTTACATACCTTATGCCAAATCTGGGAACTCAATTCTTAAAAGTCCCCAAAAAACATTCTGATGTTTTTTGAATCTACAGTGCAAGTCAAAAGGATTGTTGGCCCTTTCATAAATCAGTTCCTTAACGTTTCGAGCTAAGATACTGAACCTAACAAAAACTTTATTCTCAAGATCGCAAACAAGATTAAAAACATTCTTGCTTATAAGGTTTAACTATATAAACTGGACGATAAACCATTCGCAACTTTCACGACCAATAGGGGGCGCACTGGTGCCCATCAAAATGGCTGTCATCTGGATGATCGTCATAGAACAGCGGTATGAGGCTGGGTCTGCGACGAGTAAGTAATTCTAGTTTTGCTATATACGAGCTCTATTAGAGCCTTACTTTATTTTTTTTCATGCCAGAAAGGAGATAGCAAGCACCTTTATTCTGAAGCCTATCATCCAGAAGCTAGGGAGCGTGACTCTCACATTGCAGTATTACCATCGCTGAAAGTTGCGTTCGTCAGCAGTTTTAAATACCGGGCTGTAACCATGTCGAGCGATATTAATTGGAAATTCCATATTGACAATGTCGCAAGCTTCGCAGAAAGAAAATTGTGGTCCTTAAGACGTCACCTTAAATTAGCAACAGAGGAAGTAAAACTTACAGCTGATTTAACATTTGTACGCTTAGTCTTAGAATACGCAAGTGCCGTGTGGGACCCATACAGAAAAAACCAAATGGAAAAATTAGAAAAGATGCAAAGAAGAGCTGCCGGATTTATCACAGCACAATACTCAAGGACTCAGTCTGTCAGTGCAATGCTTACTCACCTCAGCTTGTAATCACTAGCGGAGCATCGAAAAGTGGCTAGATCAAAATTTCTTTATTTGATAAAACAAATAGTCTCAACATAGACTCACTGCAATGTTTAAAGGCTCGTTCTGATAGAGGACTTAGAAGAAATCACAATGAAATGATAACGCCACTCAAAGCGCGAATCGACCCTTTTAAATATTCCTTCTTTCCACGGACTATAGATGAGTGGAACAGCCTGCCCCAAGATGTTTTCGAAGGTGACACCGTTGAAGGTTTTGATGTGCTCCTCAGAAGTCTCGCCCAACAAAATAGTATATAATTTTTGTTTTGTGTGTTTTCTGTTTTTTTTTTTTTTTTTCTTTTGTTTTGTTTGTTTGCCTATATTTTGAATGCATTCGTGTGCTGAAACAATCATGAAATGCATTGTTCGTGGAATTGTGCATTAAAAATTGGTTGTTTTACCAATATCCCACTCCTGTAACGGCCTGTAGTTAAACAGTAGGAATAAATAATAATAATTGTACAGAGGTGGCCAAAGATGGTGGATTTAGTATGTAAAGGCCCGTTCACACATTTGCGTTCGGAGCAACCACTACGCTTACGAACAAATGCAACCGGTTGGAACGAAAAGTTGCCATTGCAACGAAGTGCCGAACTGTTGTTTCGTTCGTGTTCGTTTGCAACGCAAGGAGTCGAGCCGAGCTGAACTTTTTCGCTACGTTCGGGAACGACGGGAGCGACCGCAACGACAGACCAATCACAAGTCTAGGAGAGCTCGGCGGCGCGTGTTGCATGCCGGTCGCGGCTCCTTCTGTCTGCAAACATAGCATCGGTGGTGATCATTGACACGGTTGGCGTGGTGGAAACTCATCGTTCCGCACAAAAACGCTATCCTTGACTGTGAATTCTCGTCGTGTGTCGCTATGATAACTCAACACGTACTAGAAGGGAAGGTCCATCTACTCGCGCGGCGATGTCGTAGCGGCACTCGCAAGGCAGCAAGAAACACCCGTGCCACAGTGTTTGTTTACTTCGACTACAGTGGTGCTTTCTTAGCATTTGTGTCCTCGAACATCGCCCGGATTTCTTATTTTCCATATTCCATGTGTGTGCTCAAGTTCAAGATATTACTGGTCTGTACAGTATGAAGGATGTGAATTTTCATGCGTTTTTATCACCCGAAAAAAGTGATGACTCTTAGCAATCCTGAACACTGGCAACGTCTATGCGATCATGAAATCATATTTCTATGTTGCTATATTGCTGCTAAGATTACATCGTCTTTTGTCGTAAAAAAAGGTGTGTGACAAGGTTTGTACTATTAGAAAAGTTGTGTATTAAAGTCGTGATCATGCAAGATGGCGTACTGGATCTTTTCCTTCTTTTTTCTTTTTCCTTCCACTCTCCCTGCAAGCCTATACTAAAAAAAAAAAAATAAAAAAAATAAAAAAAAAGGTTTGAGGTTATAGAAAATTGTCTGTCCATTTTCTGTTATGCCAGTGAGTGGCAGCGAGTCCCCTCCTTTTTAGAGGCACTGCTGAAACAGCTGACGGCGGTGTAGAAGCAGTCACCGTGCTGACGACCCGCTGTGCTTATTGCAGTGGTTGCAAGTATATGATATGATATGATATGATATAAGGAAGGCTCAAGTAAGGGTGGTCACAACTTAGACCCTGAAGAGCGTTTGCAATTTAATAGCGGCGCCTGAGAGAGAGGATTGGGAAAGGATAGGTGCCAATGTTGCCTGCACGAGAGCAGATGCCTGCTCTGTTGCAACTCTGTTGTACCATGCGCCTTTCCTACTCTCGCCACCATTGCAAGCATTGAACGCCTTGGCACAGCCTTTCTCGCTTCCTTCTCGCTCCAAGAATTGCAAACGTCAAGAGGAGAAAGCAGGGTTGCCAGACAAGCAGCAGCGTCCAAGATGGCGAAATTTACCATTTTTCGTGTTAAACAAATACTCAAACTATCAGAACAGAAATGGTGGCTATAAAAAAGTAATCAGTTATACCTTGCGTAAATTATTCAAGCACTTTAATGGGCTCTTATGACCTGAGTTAGGAAATAAAACGACCCTTTGCTCCGTAGACTCCCAGGAAAATTTGGCAATTAAATGGAGTCCATATTCCGTGATCCCCAATCTAGCAGTTGCACCCACCCTCACTTGAGCCTCCCTAGTTGCAAGTGAGTGTACGCGCGGCGCAGAGCGGTCGTTCCTGTCACAACGGACGCAGTCGTAGATAACCCGCTCGCTGCAGATGTTTGAACCAGCCTTAAATATTTTCAAGGAATGAGCTTACCTAAGTAAAGAGTGAAAAAATGAGAACGTGAATTTGTTACCTACAACGTCCGTCTGCTAGCGAAAGGCGACTGATTGGCGCAATGCCAGACGGATAGAGGTAGGTAAGAGCAAGGGTGCAGACACTGATATCCGACAGAAGAAAATTTTTGAAGTCAAATGAAACCACTGGATGGACATGAAAACGATTAGAGCTTCCGCTACGCCAATTAAACACCTTTCGTTAGCAGACGGACGCCGTAGGTAGCGAATCAACGGTCTTAATGTTCTACTCTTTACTCAGGTAAGCTCATTCTTTGAACCTTTGATACACAAAATCCCCAATCTTCAGCCACTTCTGTAGAGAATCTTAGCTCGATGCGTTAAGAAACCGACATACGCGGTACTTTCAAAGGGCCCCTTTGACTCACGCGGCAGGTGACACACCTGTGAGGAATTTCCAAGGTTCCTCTCGTGTGAAACGATGCAAAGGGCCTGGCTCGCCGTAAGGGAAGTTTGCACGGGTCGCACTTGGCTCTCGAGTTACCGTACCATGTGCGAAATATTAAAATATAAGCGCTACTTGCGTCGTACGTGCGAACCGTTGTAACACGCAAAGTGGGTCAGCGCGCGGTGTTTACGAAGAGCCAAAGAGCCACCACGCACACCGAAAACGATGTCTTCTGTCACGTCGCGTCATTACGGATCACCACAGTTATTCACATGGCCAATGCTACACACGATCTGTTCGTGACCGTCTCCTTGATCGTACGACGGAAGCTAATTAAGTGTTCGATAGCGGCGACAAACACGATTTTGAACGTGGGTACGGCGGTGCACAATCGCCAACCGTTGGAGCTAACGAGTGAAACTCTAAAATCAGATGCGCGGTAAAATTTGGAGCTCAGTTCTCCGCAAAATCGACTACGGTTACAATTGGTTAAAATTTGCGATAAATTGGAGATCGCAGATATGGGACAATGCGAACGTCTGAGAAGAGGCGGTTGTTTACAAGCGAGGTTGAAACGGTAGACTGACAGTTTGTGGATGATACGCTTCAGCAATATAAAAATGAAAGATTGATTAGATCGATCGCGATTACAAAAGTTCGACGCAGCTGCCAACCTGCTAGCTTTTCAAACAAAACCGAGAGAAGCGAACGTCAAACGGCCTGCCACCTGAGGAGGACAACGCCTAAAGTTCGCATCGTTGGAACTGGTAAAAAAAGTTTCCGGCGCTTGTCAGCAGACTGGTGGGACTCGACTACTTCGTGACGAAGCCCCGAGCACTTACCGTTATCGAGAATCAGGGCTCCGAAGTAAAACAGGCCGAATAAGATGGTACGGGACACGGACAGCCACCGATCGCTTTTCCCGGGTAGCGCCATAGATCCGAACCCGAGAGAACCCGAGAGCATACCGGAAATGCCGGAAAGAGGGCGTCATGGAAGTCGCCGATGACGCGGACCCACTGATCGGTGTAAGACCGCCACCAGTCACTCACTTCCGGTTGGTGGTTGTTTTACCACTTTGAGGCACACACGCTAGGAGAATATACGGCGCTAGTGTACGCGCTGCCGCGTACTGCCGCAGAGCGGTTGCCGCGCGCATGCCCCTGCACTGGTAGGGCGCAGTGCGCACTGGTTCAACGTTGGATGACGGTAGTTGGATTAAAGGCACAATCACACTGAGCAAAAAACGTGCGTTGTGGTCTACGTCGGCGCCGCCGTCGAAAAAGACGAAGCAGTCACAGAGCCGCCCGTTGTCGGTGTCTCTTCGGATTTGAACGCGCAGCTTCAGAAGGTGCTGTTTTGGCGCGTTTTTGTGCAAACAAAGCTTAGCACGGTGCTACGCCCGCGCGCAACGTTGTCCGCGCGTTCGTACCTTTGACAGCACTGCACGCTGCTTGTGCTATAGTGTGGTAGCGTGCACACAAATAATGCACAAAACACATTGGGTGAGATCGCTCCCGCACAGTCGGAGGTCGGAACACTGGGAGGTTCGGTGGCGGCTTTCGCGCAAACGATGAAAAGAGTTTTACGGCTTCGTACATGCCATGTACATACATAAAACGCTGATCACAGTCACATGTTCCAATCGGCTTGCTTTTCTCCACGCTGAAATGTTTCCAGCCACGTTTGGCGACTGTTTGCATCCCTTGAGCAGTTTGGTCGCCGGAGGCGTAAACGCGTTCGGCAAGTGTTTGGCCAGGAGTGCTAATTTTCAGCTTTGCCGGCGGGGGCATAAACACGACCGTCAAGAGTTCGGCCAGTAAAGCTGACTTTCAGGTTGGCCGCCAGAGACAAACGCAGTCGCCAAATGCCTGGCCAGAAGTGTTGATTTTCAGTTTGGCCGTAGGGACACCCATTTTTATCGCGTTGACGAAACTTTGACATGACAACGGGCAGCGACAGAAGCACAATGAGCGAGTGGTTGGCAGCGTTGCAGTACGTACGTGCATCACACGTACACTTTTAGCGCAAGAAGCAATCAACGTTTTACAGTCTTTTTTTTTTTTTTATTTGGAAGGCTAGTGTCGTGCGAGATGTTCATTTGGAACATTGCCAGAAGTGGGAAATTCAAAGTAGAAAGATGATACCAGCGTATTTTTTTTTCTTCCCATACTTGCGACGATTTAATCGATATGGCAAATCTGACCTCATCAAAGATTAAAAAAAGTTGGGAAGATAGCAACTCCTTGAAAATCAATATTCATAAAACAAAAGCTGTGATTTTTCGTCCAAAAAACAAGCCCGTGGTGCTGTCTAAAGTACTCACTTTTAGCTCTACTCCAATCGAAATTGCTAGTTATTTTAAAACTCTTGGAGTCATTTTTAGTGAGGGTACTGTCGTGAGCAAAAGTCTGGATAACACGGGAGCGCCGACCGAATTGCATCGCCGCGCTCCCTGACGGCGCGGCGCCTGGTGCCGAGACCCGCGCAATGCGCACGCGCGTCCTTTCTTATCTGCTGGCCCACTTGTTCGCTCGCTTCAATGCGATGCGCTCCTGAGCGATTAAATGGGCGCTAGGTGCCGCCCCGGGAACCAAGATTCCAGAGCCGTTTATACTGAGAGAGTTTGGCCGATGGGCGGAGCTTGTTGGCCGCTAGAACAAGCGGATTTTGCGATAACACAATATGGCGTTACTTCTTTGTCTTGTTCATTCCTGTGAAATCGCGTAGAGTTCCTATGAGTCAGATCCACAATATGGCGGACGGAAGTAGTCATCCCCCGGTTGTCAGACTACGCTGCTGTGGTTGTCAGACTGTCAAAATTTCCTTAAGAAGGCCAAACTCTCTCAGTATAAACGGCTCTGCAAGATTCCGAGAGCCTTGCTCACCGCTCTGGACGAGCTCGCGTGCTCCGCGGCACGCACCGTTCGCGCATATCTTTCCCGCGACTCGGCAGCCGCAATGAATTGTAGAACTTGTATTCGCATACACGAGGCAGCCTTGGGCTTCCTTCCGAGTGATCATGCACGCGCGGTAAAGTGGTGAATGACGAGCAAAAAAAAAAAAGAAACGCCAAATAAGAAAGAAATATTTATTCAATGCCCCTCCCCAAGAAAAAACAAGAAACAAAACGGAAGGAAAAAGAGGCGCTGGTTCAGTTTGGGTGGCTTGTAATTTTTCTAGTGTTGATAGCGTCAGAAAGAATAAAAAAAACATCACTTTCCTGCAAAATGTTGCAATTCTGTTGCGTAATCGCAAAGCAGAAATGGAAATATTTCCCCCTCTGCAGCCGTGTGCGGCGGCCATGGGAAACGCGCCGTGACGGTGACGCGGGGATCACTGCAGCTCAACGCCTCACGAAGAGCAGTAGAGAGAGAAAGAGTAAACATCCTTGAGGAGAGCGCACGGAAACCGGTGCATCCTCACGTCGACGTCACCGAGCACGTCATTCGGAGAGTTGAGGGGTACCGGAAACTTGAATCTTTGCTATTGTTTAAAATTATAATTAGGGCACACAGACTAAATCGCCTTTCTGTTCTTTACTTTAGAAGTGTCGGAGAACAACTCCCATAATTATTTGGCCATCGTCCGGAAATCGTTGCATAGCAGCTTTATTTTATGACTTCCGGTACAAGTCATCACAGCTGATGTCAAACTGAACATTTTAAGGTCACTTCGCGAACAACCATGCTGAGAATTTGTGGCCAGTACCATATTTTTTTCTCGGTGTTTTCTTGACTTCTTGACCCTTTACAACGCGTGCATAATAAATTGAGCAGCAGCTGTTTGCATTGTAGCCGGGGCAAATATAGGGGGAAGCTTAAATATAACGAATGGAGGGAAGCGACAGCTTTTAACGCGTCGCCGAGTCGCGGGAGATATGCGCGAACGGCGCGTGCCGCGGAGCACGCGAGCTCGTCCAGAGCGGTGAGCGAGGCTCTCGGAATCTTGGTTCCCGGGGCGGCACCTAGCGCCCATTTAATCGCTCAGGAGCGCATCGCGTTGAAGCGAGCGAACAAGTGGGCCAGCAGATAAGAAAGGACGCGCGTGCGCATTGCGCGGGTCTCGGCACCAGGCGCCACGCCGTCAGGGAGCGCGGCGATGCAATTCGGTCGGCGCTCCCGTGTTATCCAGACTTTTGCTCACGACAGTACGTCTTGGGAGAGCCATATAAATTATCCTATCCCAAAGCTAGCTCGAGTAGTGGGGATTATAAATCGATGCAAATCTGTGTTACCAACAAATGTTGAATTATTGCTTTATAAATCATTATTTTTCTCCCACTTAACGTATTCCCACCTTGTTTGGGGAACGTCAACATTTACCAATATTGAAAAACTTTTTATGTTGCAATAGAAAACATTGAGATGTGTATGTAACGTGCCACGCGACTTTCATACCGCTGATTTATTTAAGAACTTTCAAAGAATCACCATTCACAAGTTATATCAATATCGGTTTTCTACTAGTTATAAAGGTGAAAAAACAAGAGGTACCATATGTCTTTTGGAAAACCTTGCGTCGCTGAGGAAAACTTATCCTCCGTATCCTACCCGTAGCCCAGAGAAATGGAAGATGGTCACGCAGCAAACAAATCATGGCCCTCAAATGATAAGCTCCACACTCCCGCATTTGTTAAACAGCCTTAGCAGATAACACTGATCTAAAAAGTCTAACCTCTAGAGACTTGCGCTTATTATATGCTTGTACGTGATCATTTTCTCTCTTGACATTTGCAAAAGGTGCTTTTAGTTTTGTCCACTGATTTACATCATTGCCTCTAGCACGCTATTATGTTGCTTTTTGTTTGTTTTCCCGCACGCTTCCTGCTGTCCATTGTAGGGGCCCAGTGACTCGTCAAGCTGCTTACTGCAGCTTTTTTCTTGGGCCCCACTATCATAAAGGATGGAGATAAAATACGAAAACAGCGCCGATGTCATCTTCGCGCTAACAACGTCACTCAGTTAAACATATAAAATAGCGCAAAAAATACAAGGACAAGAAGTAAACAGGACAAGCGCCGACTTTCACCTAGTTTTAGTTAGGAAAAGCAAGCATATATATACACACGACAGGCGAAGCAGCACCACATAAAAGTTGATTCATTTTGCACCCGATCATTAAAAAACTGAAATTCATTACTATGAAGCACAATAGAAGTGTCGCTGACACATGCCGTCCCACTTTTTTTTTCTTTTATAAAGAATGCCTCAAATAGCTCTCGAGCGACCGTCTCTCGGCTTCTCCCCAGAATCCTAATCTGCTGAAGTTGCGGAACACAGCCACACATGTAGCAAACTATAGGCAAATGCGAGCCATTTGCTGGTGAGGCTGGCCATGTATTTTTCCTTTAGGAGTGTCCCACAAGTTACGACCAGGTCAATATCAGCTCCGCGCACTCACCAACTGCAAGCATAGATCCAGGTATGGAGGAAACTTTCACCATGGCAGAGCTACAGGGCGCACTATTAAAAATCAGAAAGTTGCACGGTGCCCCAGGACCCGACATGATAACTGTTCCAGCCACGCGAAACCTTCCAAAAGTTGCTATGCAAGAACACCTGGGCGTTTTCAATAGAGCCTGGGACGTGGGCCAGCTTCCCGGTTATACCTAACGCTCCTGAATAAGAAAGGTATACGCCTTCTTCTCCCTCCTCCTCTGACGCGCACACCTTTTATTTTTATGTTTTGCTTTTTTACACCCACGCATCGACTGTAGTGCCGCCTGGATCGGGCCAAGATAGCAGACGCCCTTCCTATACTTGAGTCAGAGCGCAGTCAAAGGCCTGAAAGACACGCGCAAATACATAACACAGGCTAAAAGCGCACTGTCACAGTCTACCAGCCTTGAAGGATGGACTCAAAGAAAGACGACGAAAGCCGTGACGTTGTACAGTCGGCGTTATTTGATTGGCGGCATGAGCTCATAGCATGCACTGCACTCCGACAGCATAGGCATTCCTTTTCCTTCCTCCTCTGACGCGCACACCTTTTATCTTCATGTTTTGTTTTTTTACACTC